CCTTTTCAATCACATTTTGTGCTTACGTCATTTGAACTTGTCTCAACTGTGTCTGAGTGTAGCTTTTAATGTAGTCACTACAAGATTTTGTGCATGCATGCCTGAGATATATTTAACTCTTGGCTATAATGGTAACAACTCGTTTTCAGTGTCCAAAGTAATAAACAAGTTATGCTTTTGTCATTCTAGAAAATTGATGATCCAGTAGAGTTTAGCAGTACCGGAAGAAGAAAGCGAAAGAGTAGACAAGAGTTCAGTTACAGCGTGTTTTTTAATGGTGATGAAGTTGAGATGCAGAACTATTTGAAGGAGCAAGATGCTAATAGGTTTGTTACTTCATTAAGTACAATGTCCCATCGAAGTTCAGATAGGAATTTACATGTTTAACCCTAACTCAGCATTCATGTTTCAAGCTGTTATTTCTGTAAGTCCCACTAATAAATATAGAAGAACAACCAATATTTCTTCCAATTGTCCAGTTTCTTTATCATTATTTATTTATATTTTTATTCATTTATCAGTTACTTGTGGACTAATGTATTTGTTTGTCTCAGATTATGGTAAAATATATGAGGTTAAAGGAAATTAATAAATGTACAGGTACTTTAACTTGGCCTGAAATGAGTAAATTGGGGAAGAATTCTAACTGCAGCTTGAATAAACTGCTTGTTTGACCACTAGTATTATTTTTATGACAGGGAAGTTGTGGCTAGCACAAGCTCACCAAGTACAGTTGTGTCAGTCAACATGAACAGCATCCTAACACTACTTCGGAAATGCTGTAACCATCCATACCTGATAGAGTGTCCACTGGAGGAGGGAACTTTACTACGCAAAGTTGATGAGCAGTTGGTTACAAGCTCAGGCAAGATGATGATGCTTGATCAAATGCTACCAAAACTGATACAAAGAGAACACAAGGTATTAGGTTATGATTATCTTTAGGTAGACTGTGGTGCAGTTCAGATATGATGACATTCATTGTATTTACTAAATAATAATCAGGGCTTGCGATCAACACTAACTTTTTAACTTATTAGCCAAGTGGCTCATGACAATTTAGATGTTGCGACAATTTCAGGTTGTTTACTAGCCAAACTGGCTTGTGGAAATAAAAAACTATTAGCCAAAACTGAGTTTCTGTTAGTCTGGCTAGTTAGCTACCATTAATGTTGAGCCCTGATATTCACTAAACTTGCATGGAGTACATTTTTAATGTTTTTGTGGCCACTGCCCTTAGGTTATGGAATGCTCTACCTACAAACAATTTATTAAGTCTTTCAGCACTGTTTTTAAGAAAAGATTAAAGATGCCTCTTTTTAGAAGCTACAAACGTTCAATCAGTTATATTTTTTTTAAAGTGTTTTAGGTTTAGTGTACATTAACTCTTTTTTTTAGCTTTTTCATGTATTTCTATCGCTGTAAGGAGTGCAGATTAAACTTATCTAATCTTTCTGGAAACACTTTCCATGGTCCAGTTATGGAAGTATTTGTCCACCATTCTGTGAATAATCTCAAGATGAAGTCATTTTTTTGAGTACTTGTTTTGATTCTTTGCTGTGATAAAACAAATTTGCTCAGTAGATTTGACTTAATTCATGTATTGTGTTAGGTGTTGATTTTCTCTCAATGGACCAGTTTGATGGATATTTTGGAAGACTACTGCATTATGCGGAACTTTGGCTATTCCAGGTTGGATGGACAAATGAAGATAGTGAACAGGCAGGAAGAGGTAAGTACAGGATCGTATATCAAACAGTTTACAAGCTCAATAACCAGTTGCTGTGTTTTTTAGGAAAGAGCTGCTTATCCTTGCCAGGACCTATTGTACTCCAGGGCCCAGTTGTTCGAAGGACAATTAGCACTAACCCAGGGTTAAATCTTAATCCAGGTTTCTATATTTCTCTGATAAAAAGCCATTTTGGGATAATTCTCCCAATTTATTTTAGGGCATTTAATCATCAAATTGTAGACAAATGGAATCAAGCTGAATTTCTTTTAAAGCTTCCAGATCTGAAATCAAATTTCGCACTAACCTTGGGTTATCTTAACCTACTTTTGAACAACCCGGCCCAGATCTACATCAATTTAATGTGTAGGTGTACAATATCTCTTTGGTCATCAGTTTGTCAATGTCAATTAACATTTAGCCTAGTACTCCATTCACACTAGTCAAAGCTAAAACACGTTTTGGAGCTGATTTTGTTGAAACGTTTTCAAATTGTTTTCTTTATAGAAGCTGCTTTAATACCTAAAACTGATGAATTTTGAACTTATGTTTAGTGCAATGAAAATAAAAGCTAGTGACGACTTGAACATCGCGTGAGATTTAGTCTTTCAGTTTCAGTTGCTGATTCTTATTCAGTTAAAACCGATCAAATCAACATGTTTTGCTGGTGTGAATGGTGCATAAGTTTCCTTTGAGTTCATCACTCCCAGCTATGAGAACAAACCAAACAGGTACCAGGAAAACATTTTATATTTACTACAAGCTAAGTATTCTCAGTTTATGACCTATCATCCATTAACTTACCGTCCTTTTGGATTTCTTACACTTTACGTAGATAGCGAAGTTTGAATCTAATCCATCAGTGCGTGTCTTTCTGTTGAGTACAAGAGCTGGCGGGCTGGGTCTGAACTTGGCTATGGCGGACACAGTTATAATATATGATAGTGATTGGGTGAGTCGATGTTAACAATAATTGTTAGTTGGGTAGGGTCAAGGTGATGTTTAGCCTTGAATAAAACAATTCATAACTGATATGGTATCTGAGGATCACATCGTGGCTGGTTGGTTTGTATGGTGTTCCTGGGCGAGGCACATAACTTTTTCAGCCACGAGAACAAACCAAACAGGTAACAATAAAAAATCAAAGAAACCCAATGACATTTTAGGAGATACGGCGGTAGCCTAAAATGGATTGAATGTGTCTCCTACTTGTACAACAGGAATAACAATCAATACTCACTGTGACCCCGCCACTGTTAGATCATGCTTCAAAATCTACGATGGGCTTCTTCTGCTGTGTGAGCCAAGACTTCTCTTTTAGAATTTTTTCACGAAGCTTAACTCGCGCTAGATTTAAATCTGTTTGTTTTCGATTCTTCAGAATCCACAGATGGATTTGCAAGCCCAAGATCGTTGTCATCGAATTGGTCAAACCAAACCAGTTGTAGTGTATCGTTTTGTTACTGCAAATACTGTTGATCAGAAGATTGTCGAGAGAGCAGGAAGCAAGAGAAAACTTGAAAAAATGATCATCCACAAAGGTTAGAATGGGTAATGGTTACTCCCGTCAGAGCGTGCTTCGCTGTAATTATTTTGTATTTTTCGTAATCCCCGACACGTTGAGCAGAGGTGGCAGTATCTAAAATGCCTTTTGATTTGTTCTTGGAACAAAAACCGTAGCAATCATAATCGATATGAATGTAGATAAGATGTAAGCTGTCCTAATTTATTTATTACGATTTAGTAGCTACTGGTTAGAAACGTTAAAAAATAAAGATAAAAATAAGTCATAAAGATAACAGGCTCATGGAAGATCTGTGAGAGTTCCAGACCCCATGTAAAAACAGACCACCTAAAAATATATGAATTTCATATATTCGTTGTATTAGACCACCTAAAAGGTAATTGAGACACGGTTATACTTACTTATTCGTGAATACAGTTTCAGATTTATGGAAATTTGTTTTTTCTAATTACTGTTCACACGCTGTTTCTGTCAGTGTATGTTCATTCAATAGTTCCCTGTTATAGATAGGAACGTTTCACTCAGCAGAACGCTCTGTGTTCATCTGCAGGAAAATTCAAGGGCAACCGGGATACAGGAGGACTAGAGACAAAGGATCTTCGCGAATTGTTGGAGATGAGCGATCATCACAAAGTGGTATCCAGCGACGGTTTGCTAATTAAAGATCAAGATCTAATGGCTCTGCTCGACAGAAGTGATCTTGTCTCTAAACCTTCAGCACAGCGAAAATCTGGAAGACCCAAGAGAGGTCAAGAAGACAATGCATTGTTCCGTGTGTTGGCGGCTACAGATATCCCTGCTTCCGAATAGGCAGCAGATTTATCAAAAGATGAAATACTTCTTTTTCATCCTCAGTTAAAAAGTTCTTGTAATCGAGTTCAAACCGTTGAAGAACCTTCCATATTTAGCCAATTTTTGCGAGTATACTTAATTTCGTTACTGTTCAAAATATTTACTTCGTTACTTAACAGTTGTTCCTTGAGAAATAGACTCCAGAACGAACTCATATAGAGGTGAGATTAATTGAGAAAAACTTTGTGGTTTTCACGTTTCTCATTTTACTCGAGTTATCTTAATTATTGCAGATATGTGTTGGGAGACGCTGTGTTCAGGTTGTATTTATGGGACTGTATTATTTCTTTAATAAGGGGAGAGCCGATATTGAATTAATAAATTTAATCTTTATTCATAAGGTTATGTAGTCATTGTCCTTTCGACGTTAAATTAATGTCCCATCCCTTAGCTTCTACCAAATCTGCCAGGTTTTCTACCTTTCTGCCTTACCTTCATGAATTGTGTTTCACATGCAATAGACAGATTTAATGTTAAGCCCTTAAACTTAATCCGAAGCGGTGAGGAATGCAATGAACATCCACGGATTTCTTTTTTCAAGTTAAGAATTAGCCTGACAAAAGCAGCCGTCCTTTCGCTCCCTTCGTTTCTTTCGCGGGGAAACGAAGGGAGCGAAAAGACAGCTGCTTTGCTCAGGCTAGCTAAGAATTAACATGACCATTTGTTTGAAGCGCACACTTAGCGGCATGGAGGCAAGCCATGTCAAAATTTTCGTCGATGGACTTTTCGCCAAGGAAAAGTCCTGTCGTTGCTCGAGTAGCATTAAGCAGCGGACACGTGATCTGTAGTTGATAATGACTCTATCGTTCCAACATTCATCTTTTGGACAACTTTGTGTCTTCAACAAAGATAGACAATACAAGAGAAGAAATATGGTCGTTTAGTGGTCAAGGCTGAAGGTTACATGTTTTATTATATCGCCTGTGTCTGGCCAAGCTCACGAACCCTCGTGAAAGCTGAAGTGTTAGGGGTGATAATAACAAATTATACCTGGTAAGTGTAGTTGCTATGTCACACCGTATATCCGGAATAATAGAGAAACCTTGACATTTCCATTTCCTATACAAGCCTTAAGCTTAAAGACATGACAGAAAGGTAATTTCTCGTCATAGTTATCCGTGACTTTTATCTGTTCCTCCCTTGTCGTACCCGTCAATAGGCTTTCTCCTTAAGTCTTCGGAAGAAGAGACCAGATGTTCCAAGCAAGCTGATTTAAAGTTTGGTTTTGGGGATGTGGAGAAAGGTACGCTGCTCATAATTTAAGCCCGAAATTCGATCTAAAACCCCCTTGAAATTTTATACCCTTTCGTAAATATAAAATCAAACAAAATGGAACAGAACCGTAAATCTTGGCTTACGCCCAATCACCGTGAACAAGAGGATAAGAGATTCGTGTAACAGAGACACAAAAGCTGCTAGCACTCGAAACACTAATTGTAAAATGATGCAGTTTATCTAAAACTGAACTCTCGGTACACTAAAATAAGGGATGGCTCCTACTTCAGCTCTGAAAAAATATTGAAAATATATTAACTCGCGTTGACGACGTCGAACTACAATGAAAACAGTAACAATCTAAAAATACGGGGAAAACGGCTCATCACTTGCTTGGCAGGTAAAATTAAAAAAAGTATGCGAACTGTTCTGAGAATTGAGAGGGGAGAAACTCGCGCCCGACTTTGGAAAAAGAGTTTGAACTAGTCCAAATTGTAGCTACTTTAGTTTAACACCAGATACAGCTTGGAAAAACGCCAGAAATGTTAGCAAATCTTTAGCATTTTTCCATTCTCTCACGTCCTCTCCGTTGGAAAAATTCGATTCAATACATTAAAATCAAGAACTATGATTCGTGACTGCAAAAAAAAAAAACAAACAAAAAATGTTCTACATGACCACGTAAATGCCTCTTGAATATCTTCGGAACTGAAAAATTGAATTGAATTTCACCTTACAAAGAAGTGATATAGGGGGAACGTTTGACTGCAAGCAAGAAAAAAGCGAGTTGCAATTTACAGAAATATTTACAAGCTACCTCAAACTAAACTAATTCACCCTATGTCATTTACTGAAGCAATTTCCGCCTGTTTCTCCATAAAAAGCAATTGATCGACTATGAAGCAATCTCTAGGTTTATCAACAATCTTAGCCAGCCCGTCCAGTATGGAGTCTTCACTTCTGAGTTCGTCTTCAAAGCGCGCTTGTTTGAGGTAGGAATACACTCGACGAAACGCCTCGGCTCCAAGCAGCCTCTCACATTCACTAAGTTCAAGTTAAAGCCAAATTTCATGTCATTTAATCTTCTACCAAAGTAAAAATGTAAACAAAAAGGGAACGGTGGCGTGGCAAAGTGAACTTGAATGAGGATCAATGTTGTCTCTCAAGACCAACAACGTTCAAAGAAACCGGCTTCATTTTTCACAGACTAGACGTCAGCAATTTTGAAAGACGAAGGATGGCGCAGGTTTTGTTTTCGTTCACATATAACGACACAGCTTTACGCTCACATGTCTCATGTTAATGGTCAAGAGATGCTAATCTCTAGTGCTGGTAAAATAAATACAGGAGAGAGAAGCGTTTGGGGGTTTAATTATGACCCACCACTAGTTGTAAAAGGGAATTACTCTTCTAACGGCACACAATCAATCGATCACAAGGGGAAAAGTTTTTCAAAAACGTTTACGAAAATTTTTTTTTTCCACCTTGAACGTTATTATTTGACAATGAAAAACTGCGATAAAATATTATAAAGCATGACAC